ACAGACTTTACCTAAGGTTACTCAGTGATCCCGTGAAACACTCATCTCCTGACACTTGGTCCAATCCTTTCTCTGCTGTACTGGGTAGCAAGTAACCGGGTGTCTGCGACTATAATATGTTTCATCATATGTATTTAAAAAGTCATCTAGTTTCTTTGAGCTTTCATTTCCCCACTTTATAATGAGTACTTTGGACTGGATAAATACCTGATACATTTGTTTTCATATGAAAACTGCTGGTGATTTCATTCAGCTGCCAAACTTGGAGACCCTGTGAACTCTCTAAGGTAAGAGCTAGGTCTTGTGTCCTTTTCCATATGTCTTGTCATCTATGCACTCTACATGATAGTGGATCAGTATCTGTGGGATAAAAGTGGATAATGGATCAGTATCTGTGGGATAAAGGAGGAGCTCCCTTCTAGCTCCAAATGTCTACAATGTCACAAGTCTGGAATCACACTTGTCCCCCCCCACACACACACATACACACACCTTGTCTGTATAAAAGCCACTCAATTCACAACCAGATAGTGATCCAGCTCTCCATGTGGGAGCTGGTTGTTCAAAATTCAGAATAGATTTTGTTGTGGGAACAATTTCTAAATGATGATAGGCCACAGAAGCCTATTTAACCCACACTGTGATACAGATAGCTTATACAGCAGCAGCGATCTGTGCTTCGGATTTTAGAAGCAGGAACTTACATGGAGCAGCAAGAGGGAGCAGTTTGTTCAACAGTTAAGTCTCCACTAAGTGTGAAACACGTGGGAGAGAAGGTGGACACGGTGGCCCTGCTCTAGACTAGAACAGGGCAGGGAGAGACTGGACATTGATCAGGCTGTACCCCTCTGCTGCCCAAAACCTCTCTGTGCCACCCAGTACTCTCAATGCCATTTCAAACCCTTTAGTCTGTGTGCCCTGCCAGCCCTGGATGTTTGGATCCTACCCACTTCTTTATTTCTTTACCCTTACTTGATTCTATTTTTCCCCCTTCTCACCCAGTTTTAAGTTCTAGGCAAGCTCCATCTAATTTAAATAAACCAACTGCTTGACTCCCTCTGAACCTCTGCGCTCTCTGTTGCTTCTGCCTGGAGGGCTCATTCTGTCCTTTAAGCGACAACTCACATTTCCTCTCATCAGGCTTCCCTATTTAGAAGGGGCGCCTCTAATTTCTCTCCAGCACATTAGCTTATTGTACAGTCTTTATACCAGTGCTTCTCACACTTTGAGTGTATATATACCACGTGGGGATACTGTTAAAATGCAGATTCTCATGCAGTACATCCAGGATGAAGACTGAGATCGTGTATTTCCAGCAAGCATCCAGGTGATGTCCATGCCTCTGACCACACTTTGATCAGCACTGCTGTAGAGAACTTCCATCATCCCATTATTAAGTCAGTATGGTATCTGTGTATTGATACTTGCCCCTGCACCCTGGAATAAGGGCTCAGTAAGGCAACATTGCCCATCTGGTTCACCCCTATTCCAGTGCTTTCTCTAGTACTGAACCCACAAATTATTTAAAGCCTAGGGGAAGCTAAGGGTTGATAGGGGAAGAAGGAGGTGAGGAATGTTGGGGGCATGGAGTGATTTTCTACATCATTTGTAAGGGTAGTAACTCCCGAGGAGTTAGGGGTTCTGCAGGAGGCAGCATAATGCTCACAGAGATTAATGTGAGGGTTCTGGAATACTGTCTATGTTCTTGACTGCTATTTTGATAACTTACATAATCTCTGTAAACCTCGGTTTCTTCATCTGTAAACTGGAGCTAAAGACACATAGTTTGTGATGGGCTGTGAGGATAAATGAGAAAAATGAAGGTCACATAGTGAGCACAATGCTTGGCATGGAGTACCAGCTCAAAAAAGGGCAGACATTATCATCTGATTAAATATGATAGAAAAGACAATTAGAACAAAATTTAAAACCAGAGTGAAGGCGAACATAGCATTTCCATTAGGCTTGGGATCACTTTTGCTTAGAAAGTGCTGAATTAGACTATAGAAGGAAGGGGTTAGGGCATAGATGGTGGATGCCATAAGAAGCGTTTGCAAAGTGACCAATCCACCTGTCCCCAAGGAATCATCTGCTTATAAACACTCAGCTGCTTCTGTGACTGTTGACTAAGAATCTAATCCATGTCAGAAAAACTAGCTACTTTTCTCAGAGGGCCTGCCAGACCAGTGCCAAATACTCACCTTCTGACAGTGTGTATTCGTGTTTATGAGCGTGCTGCTTCAACCTTCCAATTTAACACCCCTCTCTCACTGTGCTGCACTCACTAGGTCATTCTACAGTCAGCGGAGGACGTGGGCTGCTAGAACGTGCCTGACTTTAGCAATTAATGAAAGGTAGCCCCAAACCAGTGGTTCTAAATCTAGGGCAATTTTGCCCCCAGGGGACATTGGTGATATCTGGTTGTCACAACTGGGGGGTTGGGCTGAGGCTGCCACTGGCACCTACTGGATAGTAACCAGAGATGCTGCTGAACATCCTACCATGCACAGAACAAGCCCCCACCAAAAAGAATTATTTGACTATCACTAAAGCCAAGGTGGAGAAACCTTGCCATTCACTGTACTTTTTTTTTTTTTTTAACCTTTCTGGTTCTTAGTCCCCCTGTTAAATTTAGCCACTAAATGATATACATGATCTGACAACTCTGACATTCTAGGAGGGTTGGTTGTCTTGTCCTTTTTTTTCTGACCTTCAGTATTTTTTATTCTAAAATTAACCAGTGAGGAGTGGCTCAGATAGCCTTTGCTTTTGCCTAAAGAGGCTGATCCACATTACTATAGCTTCTCTGTGGCCTCCACTGTAGCATTTCATCAACCACCTCTCTGTCTGCTGCCCCTGCAGAGGTGGTGGTGGGTGGTTCCTAAAAGAAGCTGACACCCAAAGCAAGCACTCATTTCCCATTTATGGTGTATGATGAGCTTTCTCTGTTTCTCAAAACCAGTTTGGTTTGAAGATTATCCCCCTGTTGACACTAGCCCACCCTGTGAAACTGACAAGCCCACACACCTTTGTTGAAAGAATGTGTTTCTTACTCATTATCTGAGAACCTGTGAGCCGCTTAATAAATATACTGATGGAGGATTCCTGGCACATGCTTATCTGAACAAAGGCCAATTATATTCCACCCCATGTACTATCAAAGAAATGCATTAATTGATTAAAGCAATGAAAAGAAAGCCTCTACCACAAAGAGAACAAATGCCACCAACACTGATTTAAGAACACTGTCCAGTGACCTCAATTATGCACTGAAAAATCTAGTAGTCAGTGACAACTTTTAAAGGTCAGTTCAAAACAAGTAATCCTGTGGACATCAAGGCAATCCTTTCACTCTGGTGAAGCAGTTAAATAGTGAAGGTCACGGGGCTTTAGCAGCCAGATAAAGGAGAAGTAAAAGCAATTAGACAAAATGGATGCTGTAATCCTGCTTTCTAGACCTCAGAGCCACACTAAATCCAGAGATTCAACTTTTTCACTTCACTATTCAGAAACTGGCAGCAGAGTCCAAATGAGAATTCCATAGCTTGATTTCTTTCTTACCAGTGCTAACTGCATTTTTTTTTTTTTTTAGCAATGTCTACAGCCTTGGGAGAAAAAAAAAATCACCAAATCCATGGATGATGCTATGTATTTATCACCTAAATTGGTATCTCGAAGTATTCCTTCAACACACAGAAGTATTGCTGAAAATTACAAGACTCACTACACTGCTTGAAAAGCTGCCCCAGAGTGGAAGAAAAAAAGTCCAGATTCTTGGATGGCCACTTTCCAATTAAGTGGAGGTACACGGACCAGAGGCATCAGCCTCTTTTGGAAGCTCTTTTAACGCGGAGATTCTCAGGCCCCGCCCCAGACCTACTGGATCAGAATCCACATCCACATTAAAATTTGAGAAACACTGCTGTAGGCGATCTTACAGGACAATCTGTTTTGTTTTGTTTTGTTTTGCCTTCTCCCAGCTTGAGTTTCCCCGATTGGAAAATGGAAATATAACAAAGTATACACAAAGGAAAAAATCAAAACAAAACTTAAGGAACACAGTTCACATGATTGCAGGGGTGGCGGGGTGGGTAACGGGGAACTTCTCTAAGATCTATACTTGTGCGATTTTTAACGTTGTAGAACCAGCGTTACTTATTTTGTAATGCAGTAAAAATAATTTTTAAATGGCGCTAATACTCTCTCACAGCATTGTACTGATGATTTTTAAAGGGACCGATTTAGAAGCGCGGACACTTCAGAAGTATTAAGTGAAGTGAACGGAGCCAGCACTCCAGCCTCTCCCAACCCAACAGCCTAGGAGCAGCCCTCGTCCCCGCAATTCGCCCCTGTAGATTTGCCCTCGGGTCCTGGAAACCTTAGCCGGCCAAACCCTGGGGTCCGCCGAATCTCTGGTCAGAACTGTAGTTGCTGGAGCGTTCTTCAGGCTCTGTAACTTTCCCCGGAATGAAATAAATAAAGACCGTAAGTGCTGAGATAGCGGGCCTCAAAATGTTTTTCGTTCTCGGCAATCAGCCAAGAAAAGAGGGGGCGGGGGAGGGGAATAAAAAGTCACTATCTGTCCCGGAAGGGGCTCCAGGAGAACTCGTCTGGGCGACTGCAGCAGCCTCAGCTCCAAACTTAGTGAGCTTTTCTCGGCTTGTGTGGGTATCTTACAGCGAAAACTTGCAGAGAGCAGTCGCCGGGGAGAAGGGCTCAGGCTGCCGTCCTGGGCGGGCCAGTCCGCTAGGCGAGCCTCTGGGTCTCCCCATCCTCCTCTGCCTCCCGGCCTCCTCCTTGTTGCAGGGGGCGGGCTGCAGGCAGCCGAGGCAGGATGTGCGTGCGCACGCGCTCGCGCATATACGGCTGGAGGAGTCCTGTTCCTCGGGCATTTTCCGAGGAAGTCTGGAGCAATTAGGCTCAGTCCGGGGAGAGCGAGCGAGCGAGCGGGCGGCGCAGCCGGCGTGTCTGGGCTGCCTCGCAGGGAGGGAGGGGGCGGCCGGCCGCCCGGCGGCGACCCCGGGCCCCGGCCGCCACCATGGGCTTCGAGCTGGACCGCTTCGACGGCGACGTGGACCCGGACCTGAAGTGCGCACTGTGCCACAAGGTCTTGGAGGACCCGCTGACCACGCCGTGCGGCCACGTCTTCTGCGCCGGCTGCGTGTTGCCTTGGGTGGTGCAGGAGGGCAGCTGCCCGGCGCGCTGCCGCGGTCGTCTGTCGGCCAAGGAGCTCAACCACGTCCTGCCGCTCAAGCGCCTCATCCTCAAGCTGGACATCAAGTGCGCGCACGCGGCGCGCGGCTGCAGCCGAGTGGTCAAGCTGCAGCAGCTGCCCGAGCACCTCGAGCGCTGCGACTTCGCGCCCGCGCGCTGCCGCCACGCGGGCTGCGGCCAGGTGCTGTTGCGGCGCGACTTGGAGGCGCACATGCGCGACGCGTGTGACGCGCGGCCGGTGGGCCGCTGCCAAGAGGGCTGCGGGCTGCCCCTGACGCACGGCGAGCAGCGCGCGGGCGGCCACTGCTGCGCGCGGGCCCTGCGGGCGCACAACGCGGCGCTGCAGGCCCGCCTGGGCGCGCTGCACAAGGCGCTCAAGAAGGAGGCGCTGCGCGCGGGCAAGCGCGAGAAGTCGCTGGTGGCGCAGCTGGCCGCGGCGCAGCTGGAGCTGCAGATGACCGCCCTGCGCTACCAAAAGAAGTTCACCGAGTACAGCGCGCGTCTCGACTCGCTCAGCCGCTGCGTGGCCGCGCCGCCCGGCGGCAAGGTAGGCGCCCGCCGCCAGCCCCGACCCCTCGCCGGCCTCCTTGGGTACCCAGGGCGCTTCCCGGTCCCTTGGGGCACCGGGATGCCTGGAACTTCCCAGGAGCTCCCTGCCTCCTTCCTCCACTGCTTACCAGTTGTATCACCATGAGCAGGTCGTTGAAGCAGTTTAAGTTTGGAAACTATGGTCCCTAAGGATTCCATACGCAGGGTGAAATGTAGCTACAGCAGAGCTTCCAGGGGTCTGGAAAGACTGAAAGGAACCCACAGTCAGCGTGGAGTAAGAACGAGTGCAGCTCCAAAGTCAGAACTGTGTCTAAAGGCTTTGCTGCTCAGATCAGCTAGGTGATGTTGTGGAAGTTGCTTAACCTCTGTTAAGGTTGAAAAGTTCCCATATACACGTGGCGCCTGGGATGAGATACTGACACACAGGGTGAACTATATCCATGCGTCCTTAGGAATTCCAGAAAGTAAATGAAACACACAGTTCTGAATAAGTTCAGAAGGCTGCCAAAACGCAGGCCCCCGGAGTGAAAGCTGGATTCACACGCGGGCTTTGCTGCCAGCTAGCTGGCTGACCTTGAGCAAGCTGCTTAGCCTCTCTAAAGTTAGAAACTGGTCCCTAGAGATGTGACATAGGGGTAAAACAGAGCCAGACACCGGCTGTGGTGTTCATCCGGCGATGGGGATTCCAGAAAAAAAGGAAGCGCCACCGAACATAAAGTAATAATTGAGAGTAAGTCCTCTGGAATTGGAACTGTCTTAGAATTTAGGCTTTTTGTTAGCCAGCTGGTGACTGTGTGGCTTAACCTCTATGTGCTTCGTTTCCCTAAATGTAGAATAGGTAGTTGTCAGCCTTCAGGGGGAGAATATGTTAAAAAGACCTGGCACTGTGTTTGACCAATGCTCAACAAATGTTGCCTGCAGTTACCTTTAACATCTCCCCCTGAGCCATCCCCTTGTGCTGGTCGTTGGTGTAATTATAATGACCACCGCTAGTGAAGGCTTACTTGGCTCTAGGCCTTATCCTAAGTACTTCTCAGTTGTTTCCTTCTTAAGTGAGGCAGGTGTGATGCTTCTCATTTTGTAGATGAAGAAACCAAGCTCTAGTGAGGTTCAGTGGTGCCTGAGTCCTAGCTTTTCGGTGCCAGGGTTGCGTTCTGAACCCTCATGTCCCAGTCTCTCCAGCCCCAGGTTGTTTTTTTTTTTTTAGATTTTATTTATTTATTTGAGAGAGAGAGAACACAAGTAGAGAGGGGCAGAGAGAGAGGGAGAAGCAGACTCTCTGCTGAGCTGGGAGCAGGCCTGGGGCTCTATTCCAGGACCTTGGGATCATGACCTGAGCCGGAGGCCAATGCTTAACGGACTGAGCCACCCAGAAGCCTCACCAGCCCCAGGTCTTAAGCACTACTGTGTTGCCTCTCAGTGTTACCATGAGTACCATTTTTTTTTTTTTTTTTGAGTGTTTATTATGTGCCAGCAAATGTGGGAAGCACTTTACAGGCATTATCTATTTAATCCTTTGAGATGGAGGAGGCAGGCTCAGAGTGGTCATAGAACTGGTCCAGAGTCATACTGTGACTCAGGGGACAGAGTGGAGATTCAGTTTCTATATCAGAGTTATCAACCTTGGGATATATTGACATTTTGCACCCCATTATTCTTTGTTGTAGGAGGCTCTCTTCTAGATTGTACGGTATTTAGCAGCATCTCTGGCCTCTACCCAGTAGATACCAGTAGCACTCCCATCCCCCCTCCAAGATGTGACAACTAAAAATGTCTCCAAATATTATCAAGTGTTCTCTGGGGCTGAGGTGTGTGTGCGCGCGCAAAATCGCCTGCTGAGAACCAGGGTTTCCCTGATTGCAAAGACCACGCTTTAGACAAACGCGGAGGGGCATGGTGCCACTCTGGTTGACTGTTCCATATGGCTGCATCGGAGGAGGAGAACATATTTGCCTGAGGGGCCCCCAGGGGCCTGTATCTGCTTTGCCTCTCCCTGCCCTCTCCCAACCCCCCCTTCCATACGTGCACACCAGGCCTGCAAGTTTTCCATCTGCCCACTCCCCACCCCCCTCATCCTGGCCCCCTGGCCTGTCAGCTGCAGTCTCAGCAGCTGGCCAGCTCTGGGTGAAGGGCAAATATTTACAACTTGGAGCCTCACCCAGGACCGCACAGGCGTACAAAAGACTGGTGTGAGCCTGCGAGTCACCAAAACAGAGGGCATAGCTTGGTCTTCTGGCAGGCGCCGGGTTTGGGGCAAAGGAGTTCCTGAGTTTCTCTTGTTTATGCTGTCACGCGGACTTCCTGCGTAGTTTTAAGTGACACTTATTTATAAATAAGCCATTCACTACCCCAGAGTTTATACATCATTCATTGTTAAGCTAGTTTATTATTTCTTCTTGCCTTTCTGTTTTCTTTCTGGAGTGTTTGGGTAAACCCTCTCTCAGAATCAAAAATATGATACTTGAATCTGAACTGTGGATGTTTTTGAAGCTGTGTTGGGTGAGAGGGTAGGATAATCAAGGGTATTACGCTTAGGGACAAGATGTTGCTTTTTGAGCTTACAGAGAGTTCCCTTCTGGAGTTGGAGCCCTCCTCGGAATTCTGGGCACCTCAGTGCTAGCCTCAAGGACAGCCAAGAATGGCCTGGCCTGCAGTCCGCTGAGAGTACCTTTCTCTGGCTTCAGACCCTGCTGGCTTCAGTGGAGGCCTGAGGGAAGCTTGTGCCTCTTGCCCTGAAGTTAACCCTCCGTGGCCCTTGGCTGAAAGCTTTTGCTGTTCCTGCATCAGCCAGAAAAACCTCTCCCACTGCTAGCTGTTTAAGAACTTGTTTATTTCACTGGGCCGGCTCTCTGCTCCTGCTGGGTACTGTTTATTCTCTTCCAAAAGGCAGAAGGATTTATATTGCTTGGAAACTCTCAAGCACAACACTTTTTTTTTTTTTTTTATTCTAAGTCCTAATGTTTATCTCTCTGTTAGAAGCTGAAGTAAGATAAGAAACACTCGGAAGATTTTCAGTACCAGCCCTTCAAGGCCTAGACCTTATTTCATAAAATGATCTGGCATTATTTAAATTATCTTAACTTTCAGGTTTTTGACACTAGTTGAGTACTGAGGGTTTGTCTGTGCTGTACTTCCATAGATGGGCTTTGTGTCTCCTGTTCTATAATTGGTGCCAGGGCTGCGCTTCTCAAACCTCCCTATGATCAGAATCACCCAGAGAATTTGTTAAAACACAAGATTCCTGAGGCTTACTCCTAGAGATGTCGATCCATTACAGCTGGCCTGTAGTTTGCATTTCTCACAAGCTCCCAGGTGATGCTGGTCTGCCTATCACGCCGAGTCGCTACTCAACTCAGCTGGACGGAGAGTTTGGATTCAGGTGCAGATGTAGTCAAACATGTATTGGTTTCCTCCTTTTAAGAAAGAACAGGGTGAGGTTCTAGAACCCAGACTGCCTAGGTAACCATGGTCTGACAGGTGTCTTTAACCAGTAAGAAGCCACATCTGGGCTACAACAGACTTGGTGATGGGATGCTTGAGGAAGTTGGAAGAGTTTTGCTGCCCGCCTGTTTTCCCACCCTGACTGGCCCACCTGATTTGGAGAGCAAAAGCATTTCACAGCAGACTTCTCTGGCTTTCTGAGAAAGGAAAACTTGTGAACATAACTTTTCTTGGAAATGTTGAAAAACCGGAGCCTTGTCCTTGATCCCTCCTGCTCTTTTACTTCTACATCCAGCCCATCATTAACTCTTGTTGATTTTTTACCTCCAAAACACTTCTTGAATCTAGTTGCTGCTCTCCATCCCCATCAAATGATCACCGTGGTCCAAACCAAGGTTTTCCAACTCCACCTATTAACATTTTGGGCTCGATAATTCTTGTGTGTGTGTTGGGGGTGGGGGGATGTTCCTTGTTTTATAGGATGTTTAGCAGCATCCCTGGCCTCTGCCTACCAGATGCCAGTAGTACTTCCCAAGTTGTGACAATCATAGATGTCTCCAGATACTGCCGGATGTCACCTGGGGAACAAAATCAGTCTTGGTCTCAGCCACCATCATCTCTTGCCTGGATCACAGCTCCTCCCACTACATACCTTCTCGCTCCCCTGCAATTACCTAGCACCAGGAATCATCTCTTAGAAATGTCAATCTGATAGCACTTTAACTTCTTAAACCCTGCATTTGCCTTCCAGTTTCTATTGCATGGCTCTAAGGTCCAGTGTGTACTGCATCCTGCCAGCCTCCACCTGTCTGCCTGTATTCTTGCCCCCTTCATTCTCTCTTCCCAGCTTCAGTGGTCTCTGGCAGTTCCATAAATGCACCCCAAAGCTCCTTTCTGCCTGCCCCCCCAACCTTTGCGCTCACTCTTTCCTCTACTTGCAACGGTCTTTCCATCACTAGGTAATCTGCAAGTTTTCCAACTCTCCCCTCCTAATCCCTGCCTGTATGTCAGCACTTAGGGTTGGCTCATCACTAGATGACCTTTCTATCCTTCCCATCCCAGCTCAAGCATCACCACCTCCACAAAGCCCTCTGTGATCTCCCACACCAGGTCTGGTGCCCTGAGATGTTCACTTTGGTACGCCTCCTGCATGGCATTTATCACAGCTCTGAGTAATTGGAAGGGCTCTTTATTGTGTCTCCCCAGGAGGGGGCATGTCCATCTTCTTCAGGGCTGTGTTCTGGGTAGTAGATTGATGTACACTGTAAACTCTCAATATGTGTTTGTTCAGTGGGTGAACTCAAGATTGAAAAGGCTGTCTTGTCAGGCATCACAACTCTTCAGACTGCTAACGAACAGTGAGCTTGTATTGAAAAAGAATGAGTTTTTCTGTGACTGCCAAGTTAACAAAATTGTTCCCAGGTTTTTGGGAGGCATTCTTGTTCTACTAGATCCACCCAGATCAAATTGTATCAAGCACCAAATCCCAGGAACGATTTTGTCCATTTCAGAACTCCTGGAGGTAAGTGAATCTAATAGACAATTGTATCAAAAGGC